TACTACACAGACTGAAAACATCAAGCAGTTAAGAGTGAGTCCAACTCTAATGTGTTCTGCGGGTGTTGCGATAATATTCTAGATTAAATCGCTGTGCCACTGTGAGGTAATCTTAAAGCTGTACCCATTAGAACACGTGAAAGCCTGTCGTCTGTTGTTCGTTCAGTGGTTGTGGAACGAATGCTTTTAGGATCGGTCGTCACTCACCGCGAAATCTTGCGCATGCGCGTATATCGAATTCCTAGCAGGGATTTTCTCCTGGTCGGTGGACAGTACATGTAGCACAAAATATTCATGGATTTCACTTGGTGTTTCGTAGAAGTGTTTCTCTTAAAGATATTATACACAAGAAGTAAATTTTATGACGATGTTCGGAATTTAAGATAGAACAGGAAGACTGAAAGCTATATGTAGTATAGAATTAAAGAATGTACTGGTATTAAAAAAATAAGCTTTACAGATTTCTTTAAAGTTGCAAGACTCAAGTTCTGCACACTCACTACAATACACGACACACAAGACATCACATCTCAAAAAAGTGTATAAAAGAACAATTTATAACAGATAAAGAACTGGTGATTGAGATTTAATGAATTATATATTTGGCTTCTAGCTAAGACTGTAGATTGACATGTTATATTTTTATAACAGAATGTTGAATTATCTCAGTCATCTCAACTAATATATGAGCCCAGAGTCCTTTAAGACGGCACAAATAATATAATGCATAAATTATATTTTCATCAACTGTGATCTTTTCAATACCTCTGGAAATGCGGAGGAATACACTGACATGCAGCGAACTGCCAAAAATGTTGACATCGTTGAGATATTTTGACATTATAAATGACAATGATTTTGGAATACAGCTATGAAGGTTAAATGTAATATATTCATATTTTTAAGTACGCATAAGAAACTTTAAATAACATTTATTATTTGTGTCGGAAGCCGGTCACAGTGGCCGCGCGGTCTGAGGCGTGGGCCCCGTGCGCTTGGGTTCGAATCCCACTCAAGGCACGGATGTTTGTCAGCGTCTTTCTGTGTTGTGCTGTCTTGTTTACAGGTAGAGACCTTGCGACGGTCTGATCACTAATCAAAGGAGTCTGAATTGATTCATAATTTCAGAAGTAATTCTGGGCCCCTATGCTCGACATAACAGCGAAAAGGGTATAAAGGAAAGAAAGAAGAAGAAGAAGATTTGTGTTGGAAGCATGCAGTACTTCTCCAAACTTATGAAATAATAAAATATTATATATAAAAATAGACACTGCCCAGTTTTGTTTTTTTATTTGTTATGTCCTCTCATCAAGAGAAAATGGACCAAGCAAGATGTGTCTGCTGGTGCACAATAATAGTTTACTCACCATAGAGGTCTGATTTTTAATGCAACTCAGATATTGTGAGATTTGTAATTTGGGTCTGTAAGTGACCCCAACGCCATCAGAGTCATTGTCCTCGTCAAGCTTGAAGAAACAGGAACATGACTGATAGAGAAAGTATGCACTAGTGATAAAACATCTGGATGGCAACTCATGAAGTTGAAGAAGAACAAATTGAATTATCTGCGGTGACAACAAACTCTTGTGATGCAGAGAGTTGGTAACAAAATTTATAATATATATTTTCCCCTTTTTTTGAAAGTTTCTGATGATGGTTGTTATAATGGATTTATCCAGCTTTCAAAATGTTGTAGTTTTCTGTAATTTTCATAATTTAAAAGATTTGGAAAGTCCGAAAGAACAATTTTACATACTTTTCTGTGTAATTTTTTTTTAACTACATTTTGTTCGGGAAACTTGGAAGAGAAACAGACTGGAGTAACACATTTTCCCCTTCGTTAGTTACTGATTTTAACTCCTAAATACATTAATAATACAAAGACAGGAACTGCTGCAATATTAAAGCAAACACATGATGGTGACGATAAGAATCAATAAACAATCAACTTGAATAACTAAAAGTTTTATGAGAGCGTGCCAGTAATTTTTTGCACTACAGTTTAGTAAGAGTTCAGAAGTTTGTATCTATACAATAAGAACACAAGTTTATGATAATTTAATTGTCATCAGACGAGCTTGCACAATAGTATTAAAAATATATTAAAAGTGGCCGTCAATCACAATATAAGATAATTAAAAGATTAAAATATCATTTTACGTTCCTTATCGAGTACTCGATTTACATGTGGAACATTTACGACATGTTTCGGCTATATATAGCCGTCAATAGCCGAAACATGTCGTAAAAGTTCCACATGTAAATCGAGTACTCGATAAGGAACGTAAAATGATATTTTAATCTTTTAATTATCTTATATTGTGATTGACGGCCACTTTTAATATATTTTTAATACTATTTAAATAAATCACAATATGACGCACCTACAATATCTTATATCAGTTTGCACAAATCTGAATGTAATTAACAGGAGAAAGTTAAAGAAGTTACAACACAACAGCAACCCTTGGCATTAAAATTCCTGCGCATATGTCTTTAAAATAGTTTTAAAAAAATAAGATAAAAAAATGATATATAAAATACAATCCACTATTCCTTAAAAACTTCCTCTGAGGGGTGGACGTCAAAATTGTCAATGTTGTTATTGACGTTATTAGTATTACAGTATTGAATATCATGACGTCATAAGAATTTAAATGCAAAAAAAATTCCTTTTCTAAACATTTATGATAAACTAAATAAAAATGGGTTTTCCAACTATGCTTGTATGTACGTAATGCAAAATTTATTCATCAAACCGTACGATAATAAAAAAAAGGTTAATAAGTGACAGCTGTTTGGTGCTGGAGTAAGAAGAAAGTTGGATGATCAACAGGGCTAGAAAGTTTTACGCAGGAAAATATAATTTGAAGACAACGGCAACATTACACCACCACTAAAAAAAAAGTCTTTAAATTTATGAATTTATATTAATGTTTGCATCCACAGAATAAAATTAATAAAATTCCACCATCACACTGTACTGATTAAATTCTGCCAAATGGTATGTATCAATATAGCACAAGATTTGTAATGGAACTACAGATATATAAAATTAAAATTCAGCAATCCGTTAGTCAGAATGTAGACAGGCTTTTATTTTACGTCCATTTGTTCACCCACTCTAAATAAAATGATATACATAAGCATAATCAAAGGTATTTTATGGTGTACGTATGGAAGCAGATGCCATTTTTAAAATTTATGTTCGTACACACAATATTATTAAGAATTAAAAATAAATTATACTTAGTACAGACATTTCCAAAAAAAAAAAATCCTTTTCATCACTTTTGCAAAATTACTCAGAAATTTGAACTTATTTCTAGTACAGTAACTACTTTAAGCAATCATCTTCATTTTGTAAGGTATTAGGACATGTGGCCTCGTATGGCTTCATGCCATTTCTTTAATAACCTTCCTATATTTCTCTTGCCAATTACACGTAAGTGTTGATATTTTTTTTTTATATTTTGTTTTAAATTACATAATTCAGTAACGTTGTATAAATTTCATAACACATTGATTTTTAGTTCAAAAAAATATCTAATAGTTTACTTCCGGTGTATCAAGTGTCAAGGATTTTAACGTAGTGACGTTTCACTCTACCGATGTTCGCTCTGACGTTTATTACAGAATGACGGCTACGATCCTATTACTATTTTACAGTTTTAATTAGCGTTCATTTTAGAATTACTTCAAATGTACAAAAGGTTTAGCCTTAAAAACTATAAATATTATTAGTCCCCTTCACATCTCAGTGTCGAATGAATTCAGACACGAGATTACTTGTCTAGAATGTGATTTATTATAAACTTATTGAGGTAATTTTAAGTGTGTTTTATGAACGCACAGCTACCATTTATTCAGGGATAATTATATCATTATCTGTTTAAATAACTCCGTGGAACAGCTAATAGCCATTTTGTACGTCAAGAAATTCCCTCCCTCTCACAGAACCCAAAATACATTATCTTTTACAAAAGAGCCTGCCCCATCAACACTATCAAATACAGTACAATGCAATACTGTCTGACAACTCTTATTCTTCTTCTTCTAAGGCTCTCCCGTCCGTATTCGGTCCAGCCTCCTCAATTCTCCTCTCTGCCTTATTTTATCTCAGGTTTGAGTAAACAAATGTATTTCATACATCTGTCTATAATCCCCAATTTGCAGATCTGCCGCCAAACAGTCATAACCACAGAAATCGACTACCTTGATTCGTCCTAATACTCATACAGTGTGTATAAAGATTACGTAAACAGGAAACACAACTAAACACACTTGTAAAGTAAAGCATTATTGTTTTAAAGCTGCGTTAATTACATATATTCAATGCCATGCACAATATCGAAGTTAATAGGACATATATATCCTACGTTATTTATTAATAATTCATCCAGCTATTTCTAACTGCAACTAAATACGCTAACGCTAAATGTGCTAGCATTGGGGAAGAGAATGATAAATAAGAGTCTAAATTATACAATTTATTTTAAACAAAATAAAATGTATTTATAAGTTAAAACAGTTTAAAATAGAAAAAATAAACATAAAATTTATTTATAAGTTAAAACAGTTTAAAATAGAAAAAATAAACATAAAATTTATTTATAAGTTAAAACAGTTTAAAATAGAAAAAATAAACATAAAATTTATTTATAAGTTAAAACAGTTTAAAATAGAAAAAATAAACATAAAATTTATTTATAAGTTAAAACAGTTTAAAATAGAAAAAATAAACATAAAATTTATTTATAAGTTAAAACAGTTTAAAATAGAAAAAATAAACATAAAATTTATTTATAAGTTAAAACAGTTTAAAATAGAAAAAATAAACATAAAATTTATTTATAAGTTAAAACAGTTTAAAATAGAAAAAATAAACATAAAATTTATTTATAAGTTAAAACAGTTTAAAATAGAAAAAATAAACATAAAATTTATTTATAAGTTAAAACAGTTTAAAATAGAAAAAATAAACATAAAATTTATTTATAAGTTAAAACAGTTTAAAATAGAAAAAATAAACATAAAATTTATTTATAAGTTAAAACAGTTTAAAATAGAAAAAATAAACATAAAATTATAAAATTGTTTTCATTCCTCCTGTAGTTCTCTCAGTTTTTGTAAAAATTATTGGAATTAAAAATGTAATATATGACATGCTGTTCATTGTTCAACGGTGGCACTAAATACGCTTATCTCACATTCCTCATGCTTATATGATTTATTAAATGTATACAAATCTGAAGTGGGATAATTTAGAGATAAGACATTATTCACATAAGTTATGAGAAAATTAAAATTATTTATTTTACTCTTTTACAATTTTGTCTTCTTGTCAACTTCCAAAAAAACATTCATGAATACTGATTGGCTGTATACAGGTGAGTCAGAAATATGTTTACAAACTTCGTGTGCGACCCCTTGCTCATAGGAACATTTTTTCTTATTTTTGATCCTGGAACACGCACACGAAGTTTGTAAACATACTTCTGACTCACCCTGTATAAACAAAAGTACTAGCTGTTAGTTTGTTACTATTTTAAGCCTACCCCAGATGGGTAACAGGCTTTGCTTGTATTTCCTCACAAAACTCTTTGCTTCACATAGAAATCAGGAATATTTTATATCTGACAGGGAGGGAATGAAATTTCGTCCTTAACCTTATCAGCCTCATGTCACATTTTATGAGCAGTCCATTACACTACCATAATATCAGACGGTTAACCACTGGTGTCCCGCGCCGTAGCCTCGCGGTCTGAGGCATCGTGCTTCAGACCGGCGATACGGAATGCGCCCTGGTTCGAGTCTCGGGGAAAAGAAATTTTCTCATGAGCTTTCGACCGGTGCCAACCCAGCATCGTGAGGAAATTGGGGAGCGTAATCCGGTCAGGAAAACTAGCAATGGCTGGGGGTTCGTCGTGCTGACCACACGTCACCCTATATCTGGTTGGATGATCGTTCACCTCTGCTTAGGCATGTGAACGTGAGGCCAGCTAGTCGGCTTTGGCTCTCTGGAGCTGTTACGCCACGGATTTAATTTAATTTAATTTAACCACTGGTAGCCCTGCTGTGGTTTTAAATCACCTTATCCAACACGAAAAAGGTTAATACAGGATGGTATTAACTAGCTAACAGCAGAACAAGAAGCTCAAAACTGCTAATTCCAAAGCCCATGATTATGGCTGAAATAAAGGTATAATCTATATATTTTGTTTATATGAAAAATAAACGTAACATTCTTCATGTAATGTGCTGAAATATGTGCGGTTCAAAAATTTGTCAGCAATGTATCAGAAAACAAGCCAACATCAGAGCAGCTTTGTAGCGGTACTAATTATGCCTATGTTTGCATGTCTAGTCTACTTTGTGACATATTCTCTACAGATATCATTTGCAAGACCACTTCGTCATTAAACTGATTCATTAGCAGTACACAAATGAACTACTGCTCCTTACGCTACACATTTTCTTTTTATTTGAGAGGGTCAGTTTGTGAGAAACGATTTGAACTGTTTCAAAATATTGTCCCATTCTTTTTTCAGTAGGAGCTTCGTAAAACAAATAACCCTGTTATGATGAAGTCATCATGAATGAAGTTAGTAGACAAGGAAACTAAAATTGTTTTAAAACTACAATTAATTAAGAGAAAAAAATAGCCATCTCAGCCACTACTGAATTGATTTAACTCTTTCGGAATCAACGAACACCTGTCTGAAACAGAAACTGATTCTCTCGTCGCACGTGTCAGAACTGCAAATTTCTTGGGACTTTCGTTACGCAACATTTGATCGCATAAAGTGGACAAAATTTGGGATATAAACACATAATAAACTGTTACGATCAATGAACATGCCATACAAATACTTTATAGAAGAAATAAAATCTACCTGTGTCCTCTGTCACTGATAATTATAACGTACAAGAATTTCAGAGAAAATTAAAATAAAAATTCTTTTAATGCCTTCAAGGGTGAATATTTGTGGAAAAAATGTTAAAAGCTCCATTTATGAAGAACATCTGACATAGATTTCAATTTTGAAACTTTTTGAAGCCTCTATTTCTTTTTACGGGACAGAAAATGTCTAATTACTTACATGTGAAGTATCTGACGATGACGTGTCCTGCGTTCTATAAATTCCGATTGGAATCTCACAAGTTGTGGAGCACAGCTTTTGATACAGACGCCCATATGTTCTGATCCACATGTCATCTTTTGTGATCTTCATCTGTGGTGAAAAACACATAGATCTCAGTATCTGTTTCATTACCAGAATAAACTGTGTTACGCGTAAGACAACGCTACTCGTGACGCGGTATACTAACTACATTTCTTACCTCTAGTGCGAACAGAAAGTAAAACTTAAGTGATTTAAATTGGAATGGGATGAAGTGTAATGCATATTTGCCTTTTCATAAGATTATCGACTCTCCCTCTCCCACTCTCGCCCACGTGCTACCATTGTTCCACTCCCATTGGCTCGGGGCAGGCTACACCCTTCCCTTCCCAGACTACACGGCGCAATAACCCAGAAGACAGAAATCTTCATACTCTGATGACGGAGGCAGTATGACCTCTGAAACGTTGGTTAACATCGACCAGACTACACGGCGCAATAACCCAGAAGACAGAAATCTTCATACTCTGATGACGGAGGCAGTATGACCTCTGAAACGTTGGTTAACATCGACCAGACTACACAGCGCAACAACCCAGAAGACGGATATCTTCATTATCGACTTAATTTTTGAGAGATTAGGTACTGTCCTTTGACTACTAGAATTATTTTACTCTCGTAACTTGCTACAGATTTTCAAGGAGACTGTAAAGGTTATTAAGTTTTTTACATTCCATTTCATATGTTTTCGAAGGTAGCCATCAGCTAATCCTGATGCTGGTATAAAATATCTTCATTAATTACAGCAACCTTTGCCCCGTCTAATTGCTAATATCTGGAAATCTCTTTGCGGCTTAATAACCTTGGATACAATTGTCAAGGCACAATTAGAGATGGTAATGAAAAAAGATTTTATTATAACCAGTGCAGATCTCGTCTTGAACCTGGTGAAGGTTTGGATTCTTTCAAGGTGGAACTTTTTTTTTTACAAGAAATCAAAATGAATTTTTTTGCTCGTAGAATCAATGCCATACGCGAAGAAAATAATGTCACATGAGATCAATAACCAATCAGTAAGTTTTCAAACTCCACACAAATTTTCATGAAAACTACATTTTTCTGGTTGTACAAGCTCATATTAACAGAAAAGTTAATTTTTTCGCAGAATGTATCCTATTTTTAATTTTCTATGAGCAATGTTTTAGTAGAGCAGACTTTGTAAACAGTACAGACACCAATATTAACAACTCGTATTGCCACACGAGCATCAGAAACATTTAGACAACATTTATCCAATTAAAGACGAGGCAGAGCGAATTACAGCGTTAATTCCACAGGCTGCTTATGCGTGTACCACTGTCTTACGTAACAGAAAATACTGCCACAATTTTACAGTAGCTGCAGTTACGTCATTATACCTACGTACTACATCTACTGCGCATATTTACCGATGTCAGGAAACCCGATCCTGGGGCTTGGTCGATGCCGAGCAGAAGACGTACAAACGTGATGACATAATCCTTAACGTACGCCTGGTACAGCAGAGTGTCCAGCATACTTGCACTGAACACGCTGCCAGCGGCAAATTGTAATCGGAACATGTACGAGATGTGCGAACCTCGTTCTTTCTCACGCTGCAAAAATGTCAAATTTTAAATACTCAAACAAAAATTTTGCTTGAATAACAAGAAAGGAATTAATCTTTTTTAAAATCTGAAACACAATAAAAATTACTTTTGTTTGTGATTTTCTTAGTCAGTGCCACAATACTTTACAGAAAAATTTCTCAGGCAATTATTCATGGCCCCTTCTTGGTCACAAATTATAATTTATGATGCTGAGACGTCCAATGAAAATACAGAATGAAGAACAGTATTATAAACAATGTAATTGAAGATTTATACTCGATCTGAAAGATAGCTATCATAAAAGAATAACTGTTCTATAGAGAAAACATTTTTTTTAATATGTTGTAATATAGTTAATAAAATATACATCTTGTAAAAAATCTCCTGCCAAGGAAGAACACTGTTAATGCAGAATACAGATTCATGAAGTGTGATCTACGGATTAATAGATCCAATAAAAAAAAAATATTGTTCTTAGGTTTTCTTGACTGTAGTTCGATGTATAATTTTACTAAGTTTCTGCATAAATAATTATTAGTTACAGAATTATTTTATTTTTATGTCAAATATATATCACCTGAATCCATCACTAAAATACAGAATGCAAACTGAAAATGTTCTGCACAATTTTTCAGAAAGTTTGCGATGCTCGATAGGTTTGTGCAAATGCAAAATAAAAATAAAAAGCAATAACCAACTAGGAAGAAATTGCAGGTCAAATTTCTATTTTGTGTTCTCAGTACAGAGTGAAAGAAGGGTTCCTTGTTACAAGTAAAGAACTTTCAATGTAAAAACTATAAAATATTAATAAAATAAGTCAGAAAGATACTGAAAGGATTGAAAATAATTAAGAGTCTATGTTATTTATCTACAGCCAATTTTTCACGGTCCAATAAGAGATGTAATTATAAATATTGCGAGGTCAACAACCTTAAATACTTAAAGAATGATTTTTGATCATGGTTTCTCTGTTTACTATAACAAATTTAAGTTTCGTGATGAATTACGATCAAATTAAATATCATACACTACGAAAAAATACTTTTGTTATTCTTCACAGAAGCTATAAATAATGCTTATGTTGTTCTAAACTTGAAAAGTTAATTTTTCTATTGTGTTTCTTTCACGGGATGAGATAATGATCTTATTCGGGAAACAATGACTTGTCATCGAAAGCGTCTCCTTTTCTTAATCTCCCTGCTGTTGTCGGAAAACTTTCACAGCAAACCACATTCAAATTCATCACTTCAAAACTGATTTTAACACCATTTTAAAAATTCGTAATGTTATCCCCGGTGATTAATTCAGCACCATATCGTAATGAAGAATGTGGGAGTGAAGGTATAGAGCCACGGCTTGTTAACCTGAGAAACAGACAGACGTCAGCAGTCAGCTCCATGCCTCAAAGAAAATAACCCCAGAGGTAGTCTGGATGCAGGGCAAAGATTTGTGAAACCTGATGAAAGACTCTCGGGTTACAAGCCACGTCACGTGGCTGAATGGTGAATAAACAATATCTACCGCCAACGTTTCAACAGCAATCTCTTCTCTCTTCCTCAGGGTTGCTGCGTAACAAATCTGGTCCTCTGTAGCGTGGTTGCCAATGGGAACTGGCAATGGACGGCAGGTAGTAGCATGGTGTTGCTGGCGGCCGGTCCGTTGCTTTGTTTCGCGCTGACCAATAGGAACTGGAAGTCGAGGTCAAGCGCTCGCTGGCTCGGCCGTCTGGGCAGACAGCAGTTTTGTCACAGCACACCAAGCCCGGCTCAGAGTGAAATCATCATCGCTATTGATGTTTTTGTGCAGGCAGATCTCAGTGGCTTCTTTTCGAAAAGACGGTGGATATAGTTTATTCACCATTCAGCCACATGACGTGGCTTGTAAACAGAGAGACTTTCATCAACTTCAGTCGCCGCGAAAGCTTCACTTTATACATTTGTGAAATATGTTCGGCGTTAGCTATGATGTCATGATGAGACAACTGTAGATGTCACCACTGTATAATACATATGATCCCATATTTCAGTTTTAACATTGCACCTACTGGAAGTTACGTAAAGGTAAGTGTTAATAGTGAATATTAGGTTTACGATGTAGGATATGAGATTCTCACAGCAGTGAGTATGAAGACGGCTGTTTTCTGGGTTGTAGCGAGGTCTGGTAGAAGTTTATAACGTTTAAAACTGATGGAGACAGGAAGGACCTCTGAATCGTCCGTAAACTTCTACCAGACTACACGGAACTACAACCCAGAAGACAGAAATCTTCCTAGGATTATTACAACTGACATGTTAACATGTGAGAAGTTAATATATATATATATATATATACTTGATCCCAGGGATTACGTATGTTGACTTCTTGGCCAAAGATGATCAACTTCGAGTTAACGATCAGGCACTTATTACCGTCGTCATAATTTTCATACTGAGCTACAAGGGAAATTTATTACCAGTGCTTTTCAATATCTCAAAAGAGACAGATTTTCATGCTTAACTGAAGGGAAAGCCGAAGAAATGAAGATAAGAATGAGTTAGGAAACTGAAATAAAGAGCGTTAAGAGTGCAAGCGTCCTGCCGGCACCTTCATCCGCATTGAGGAGCTGGGAGGAATTGCCCAGTACCTTTTCCATTTTGGAAAGATGAAGAGCATATTTGTCATGAGCCCGAAACTGCATAAACCTCATGTTAGATGACTGTGATAATTCTGTGATGGTCTTAATTCCGGGGAAGAATCTGCAATCATCAAAACAAATGTTCAGTTAAGACAGAGAGAACGTAAACACTCGTACATAGTCACTAATCATTTAAAGCGTCTGGAAAGTAATTACTCGTGTACGGCTGGAGTTCAATCCTTGGCAGGGGTGTTGGATATCTTTTTCTTATCACTAAAACAGATTCTGCATTCACTCAGTCTCCAATAAAACAGGTAAAAATGACTAACGGGGGCTTCAATACGTACATAAATGTCTAAATGCAATCTTGTGCTTAGGTTTAAAAAATACACGAACCACTACTTTTAAAATTATGAAAGGCACGACAACAGTTCGTACGCGTAGTAATGGTACCTTTACCATATACATACTGTAAAACATCTCACTGTTATTTTCTAATTAATAAATTAATTAAAAAATTAATAATACAAACATAAACCCCCCCAGAAGAAGCAAGATTAATGTCAGGATGCAGTAGAAATTAGGTGATTAATGAAATAATTGATATAACATACATTATTAATTAATTAAGAGTACAAACACACATTCCACAAAAAAAAATATCGTGACATATCATTACCAATAAATTATTAGTTAAACATGAATCGAGCCAAAAGAACATTGATACGCCAGCGCAAATTATTACGTAATAGTGTAAATTGACATCACGTAAGAAATAACAATATTAATATCATGATCGTACGTAAACTAGAAAGGAAGAAACAAAAGAGTAACATTGTGCGTAAAACGGGCGGGTGACGAAGCATTATCTGATGATCTGTGCATTCAGCCTTACGCTTACGTAACAAACAGTAAGTTACTCAGCAAAATCTCATGGCTACAAAAAATTAGTGGCCAAATAGTGAAATCAAAGATCTGGTGGCCGTAATCAAGGCTTCTCTACAGATCCCAGGTCTCATGGGGTCCCTGGATCTTTGAAGACGATTAACCTCTTAAC